TTAACTCTATCCCAGCCAAAACCAGCACAACCTTTATGATAGTGAGAAATATTAGGCCAATACATTATCCTCATCAGCAGAGAAAACCTTGCACAGAAAACATGGTCGCAAGGAACTGGTCCTTCTCTGATCTATGGCATCAGCTCCTTTCGTATCTGGGTTTTATTCCCAATTTTCACCCTACCCGCTTACATTGTCACTCAAAGCTGCCAACTCACCCAGTGAGGTAACAGATCCATTCAGAACTGCTCCATCCTTGGCAGATAGCACTGAATTTCCACGGTCCTTTCCTTCCTTTTCCTCTTCCCTTTTTATTCTTTTAAGGGTATCTGCACATTAATGAGCCCTAGGAGTAAGGGTTTTTTTTTCAGGAGCTCTTTAACGGTGACGAAGAAAATAAATTCCTCCAGCACAGCATCTGGTTCCTTCCACCAATGCTCTTCCTACCCCTTTCCAGGAGCCCCATCGAGGCTGTCCACGAGACCGAGGACAACTTTTTACATTGATATATGAAATAAATCCAAAGTATACGTATGTTTGTTTCTACAGGAAGCAAGACGAAAAGCCACGTTTCTTGCTTAACTAAGTAAGTTGTGATTGGCATAATATTTTACTTACATCAACAGAAAGCATACATCGCAAAAGGTTAAATGTGAACATTCAACATAATGACACGTATTAAATGGAAAACCAGTTACCTATCGCTCATGAATGTGAATTAAACCTTTCACAGAAACAGCACTTTTATAAAAAAGATTCAAGAGGCTCCTTAGTTCAAGAGTAAAATTTAATCCATTTTTAAAAAAATGTCAGATTAAGCTAAGGACAACCTAACAAACTTCTGAAAGATCTTACTGACCTATTGGCTAATCTAAAACACCAAAGAATTTTGGCTGACAGGTCAGGCTCAAAGAGTTACAGTAAACAGGGTTACATCAGGCTGGCGGCCAGTCACCAGTGGGCTCAATTTGAGGGCCACTGGTATTTAATGTTTTTATAAATTATATGGATGCAGGAGTCGAATGTACATTAAGTTTGCCAACGATGATACTAAACTAGGAGGAGCTGCGGACTCCCTCGAGGGTAGAGAGGCCTTACAGAGAGATCCGGATAGACTAGAGAGCTGGGCAATCACCAACCGTATGAAATTTAACAAGAGCAAGTGCTGGATTCTCCACCTGGGACGGGGTAATCCTGGTCATATGTACAAATTGGGGGACGCGAGGCTGGAGAGCAGCCCCGCGGAAAGAGATGTGGGGGTTTGGGTTGATGGCAAGTTGAACATGAGTCACCACTGTGCCCTGGCAGCCAAAAGGGCCAACCGTGTCCTGGGGTGCATCAAGCACAGCACAGCTAGCCGGTCGAGGGAGGCGACTGTCCCACTCTACGCTGCACTGGTGCGGCCCTGCTTGAGTACTGCGTGCAGTTTTGGGTGCCTCAATATAAGAAGGACATCAAACTATTAGAAGTGTGTCCAGAGGAGGGCGACCAGGATGGTGAAGGGTCTCAAGGGCAAGGCTTACGAGGAGGGGCTGAGGTCACTTGGCTTGTTCAGCCTGGAGAAGAGCGGGCTGAGGGGTCACCTCATCGCAGTCAACAACTTCCTTTCATCTTGAGGGCACTCACAAGGCAGGTGCGGGACAACCAGGGGATCAGGCCCAGCCAGCACGGGTTCATGAGAGGCAGGAATTGCCATTGTTTGACATTATTCTCTCCACGGCATGTCAAAAATACTAAAATCCAAATGCATTTATTCCTAGCACTAAATGTTTACTGTCAGATATGGAGGAAAAGGAAAACAAGAAAGTGTATGTAGTATTTCAATTTCCATTCAATGTATCTTAATCAGCACCGCTGCGCAGACCAAGAACCATGGGTTTTTCCCTTCTCATTGAGAAGTAAAGATTAACTTTAAAATGCAGTTAGCTGTGCTGCTTCATGATACTGAGAATTAATACTTCCCACAACAGAAGTATCTTTTTTTATCCATGCAAACACTTACATCCTGATAACTAATGACCAGAAACAGGTCATTAAGAAACAAGCAGAAGTACTGAGTCCTGTAAATCTCTGGTTTAAACTTGTTTTATTTGATGGATCATGCCCAACAGAACTAAAGAGTATTCAGCTTCTTGGAAACTAAAAACCTGAGAGTATGAATTTAAACATTTTTCTCCCCATTAGGCTCTTTGGAAACTTGTGTCATACTTCTGAAAATACACACATCAAAATGGTCTTGTCAAACAGCTTGGAAATTAAATGCCTTGTGCTTCCCTCTCTGGAGTAGTATAAATTTAGTCATTATTAGAATTAGTATAATTGTTCTCTAAGTGCTCTAGGAATAAAAGGTGAAATGAGCTCGGTGACTGCTCTTTCATTCCCACGAGAATGTACTGCAGCAGAGAAGTCAGGCTGCAAGAGCAGGGATGCTTTGAAAACCCAAGGACTGGAGAATGAGTCCAGCAAAGTATAGCCTGGTGTACTCACCATGTCTGTGCCACCATAGCTTACAGGCAGAGGAGGTGTCTGTTCTTCCAGGGAGGACACAGAAATCCCACGGAAGAACTGCCCTCTGGAAATGCCTGCTGCTGTCTGCTGACTAGTGGAAGACAGAAGCCTTCAGCAAAACGACTGAAGTTGAAAGGAACGTACCCAGGCCTTTGAGATCTAGCTCCCTGTTGACTACGTCCCATCACTTATGACTAGTCCTCCTCCCTTGATACCAGGGGTATCAAGGCTGAAAAGAGAACCGAGTAAGCTGGTTTGAAACAGAAACTGGTTGGAAACACCACTAATCAAAGAGGGACATCGTGCAATCTCAGCTAGGAGGTCCCTGAGCATTCACCTAGCAGCACCAGTGGGCATGGTGGTGTTGGGTTGACGGGTGGACGCGAGGACCCGAGAAGCCTCGACCACTCTTCCAACCTTTATGATTCTATGATTCCTCAAGGAGGGCAGCAGAGGGGGAGGTGCTGATCTCCTCTCTCTGGTGACCAACGACAGGACACGAGGAACTGGAATGAAGCTGCGTCAGGGGAAGTTCAGACTGGGCCTTAGGAAAAGGTTCTTCACTGAGAGGCTGGTCAGTCGCTGGAACAGGCTCCCCAGGGAAGTGGTCACGGCCCCAAGCCTGTCAGACCTCAAGGAGCATCTGGATGACAATCATATGGTTTAGCTTTAGGTAGTCCTGCGAGGAGCAGGGAGTTGGACTCGATGATCCTTACGAGTCCCTTCCAACTTGAGATATTCTGTGATTGTAAGCTTAGGTCTTACTTTATGGAAAAACACTTGAAAAATCAGGTACTTTTATCGTAGTAAATTTAATCAGGCTTCTAACAAAGGAGACTCCTAACGAACTGTACAGTAATAACGGTCATTTGAATCAAAAATATATTAAACATGATTTCAGTATTTTTTTCATTAGCACTTCTAGCCCAAAGCAGAAACTCTGATGTAACACCCTGAAGGCTCTCGGTCCTGTAGGCAAGTAGTGAAGCGCTGTAGTTACGCTTCTGCCTCAGAGAAGACTTTGCCCGTGGCATCACGACTGCTCTCGGTAAGCCAGGTTGTTGCCAGAAGGGGCGGGTCAGGTCTAGCTGCTGTGCCACAACAGGCTGCCTCTCTTCCCCTCTCTCCCTCCCCAAATTAGCATCCTGTAGGATCCGTGAGCTGACTCCCACTCACTGTGCAGCCCACACAATCCCAGGTGCCAACAGGGTAAGTTGCAGGTCATCTCCTTTGAGCAATGTGAACTCTTCGAAGCCGACAAAAGCCAACTGCAAAACCACACCCTACTGACATTAAAACTAATCAGGCATCTGAGGAATCTGATGTAATACATATTTAATACACCATATCGAGATTTGCATGTGTAAGATGCTGCGATACATACAGTACCTTGTACATGCAAAATCATTGCTATTTCATTTACCTTCCTGCAAACCATTCTGATGAAATCCGAGAAGCTATCTTGATAAGGGGGCTGAATTCAGTAACTTTTTCATTTACAAATACTGTGCACTTTGGAAATGGTGAGCTTTAGTCATTAGTGCTTTTACAGAGTTTCACGAGTTTTAAAATGCAAATGTATACAAAATAATTGTGCTTATACTTACCTCTCTGTGATTACAAGTCAAATTATTCCTTTCCTAGAGCATTCATAAAAACCAGTACCTTATTAAATGTAAAGCTGTACACGATCCAACAGCCAGGATACCGCCAATGAGGCCTAAATATTTTTCATCTCTGAAAAGTAGTCATGTCACACTGGCAGCCTCTTGACTCTCCTCAACCACTGTTCCCCAACTACAAGTCGCTCTATCAGGTCAAAAGTGGCTCCAGACATTACACAGAATCACCTAGGTTTGAAATGATGATGAATTTGGGGCCTTAGGGTTCACCTTCACGTTACATCTAATCCAAAGCAACTTGGAGTTACTAAAGAGACGGTCCTGCTCGCTTGCCTTGCCATCCCTTGCCACCCCAAACCCCTGTGCCTTCTCGATGTCGGAAGTAAAGATTACACAGCCTTCTAATTGCTAAAACTGATGCATGAAAAGTGGTGACAAGGTGTAAGGGGGGAGGGGGAGAGAGTAGGAGAAGGGACCTTTCCCTGCTCAGCGGCTGCCTGCAGTTACACTCTGTAAGGCGTAGTCAAAAACATAACAAAGGAAACGTCTTAGTTGCAAACACTGACAAAAAATGGAGTTCATCCTACATAATACTGCTTACTAGTAATGACTCACGATATGGAAAACACCAAAACTTTAAAGGCATTTGCAGAACCTGCAATTAGAGCAAAAATACAGCACTTCTTATATCAAGTAGTTAGAGTTGCCCTGGCAGTCAGAGACTAGAGATAACCCCTAGTGTAATTTTACAGAATGAAGCTGAAGTTTAAAATTAAACTATAATAAATAATTTAAATCGTAGTTGTGAACAATTCTGCAAGTCTTCCCTTCCTACACTATAGATGAAAACAAGACATGTTTCTGCATAAATTGAGGAATGAAGAGCTGCTTCTTGTAATTTTAATAAAAAATACAGCGTTTGAAGTTACACTTATAAACATCAAAACATAAGTGTACATCCATTGGACCGATTTTTTCCTAGGTAACTGTGTAAAGGTTTCAAAAATAGTTTGTCACTTTACAGCATTTTTGAAAAGAACATCCTTTCAAGGGAATATATGTCAACAAGTACAGGTAGGAAGAATACAATTGTGGAGACCACAGCGAATGAGATATAGCCACCTGAGCTACTACGAAGGAGCGCAGGCCTTGGGTTCAAATCTCCAACGAGATCTCCTCTTTCCCCGCGAAAAGCAGATTTATGTATTATGGCATACACAATGCAGAGGATCTAAAAGCGTATTTTTGTCCTTAGTACGGGCCCTCTTTGAAGGGTTCTGATAGATCTTGATTGGCAGCATCGTACTGAGCAATGAAATGTTTGAGTTCTTCAATGCATCGCTCACCTATTTCATGCAAGTTCTGCCTCAGGGCAAACTGAATGGACTTCTCTAATGATGGATCTTTATCAATTAGCATCTTCACTACCATGCCAAAGGTTTCACAGTCTTGTCTGTAGACCTAGAAACAACACATTTTAGAAAACGATTAAATGCAAGACTCTCTGCATTAGCACACCGACAGCCCTCATTTTGAGTTAGGTGCTACTGCAGATCCAAACCAAGCAAAGAATACTGGATTTAACGCAAATTTCAACTCTAAGACATGTTTGCCTTTTCCTCTCTTCTGACCTGCGCTAATACAAACGTAACTAGTTCAGAACTATCTGGATACAAGAAATAACTCTTATTGGAAGAAAATGCCTTAAAAAGAGAGATTAAGTTCCTCTTGCAGCAATATGTAATAAATAATGGCAGAGCAAAGTGCAAATGCTAAACCAGATTTTCATTGCAAATATATGTAAAATTAATTTAACTGTGGCATGTCTAACAATCTCAATCTTTATACAAAGCAACAATCACTTAGTCTGTAATCTTTCCTAATACATGCAAGTTACGTTTAAATAATTTCACCAAATTATGTTTGTTCGTTGGATATCTGTTTCTCGTAGAAGTCCTTGACAAATACGACTTTCATCAGTTTAACTGCATTGGCGATTCAACCACTACAGGCAAGAAAAATCTTGGCAGCGGTTTACATGAACCCGTCTGATCTTGTACTGCAGGGAATGAAGAGCTTGCAAGTCAGTCATGTACCACAGTTGAGGAGAAGTAATTTCTCATTATCACTGCAACTGTTTTTCAAACAAACATCTGACTATGCTCTTAGGCGGTTTTCAAAGTGAGTCAGCTGCCTTTCCATTCCCCCCCCCCCAAATTCCAGCTGAAGTTATTAATCTAAACACCCACCAAAAAAGGAACTTGTCAAATCCTTCCAACTGCCAGATGCAGTTCATTTTCACACCTCTTTGGCCGATTTCCGTTTAGAAAATACACTGGCTTTTTGAATGAAGATAAGTCAGTTTTTTATCTCTGTACATTTTTTAGGAGAAAAAAAGCTAAAATGTTGATATTCCTCAAAGTATGATTATCTCTTAGTATTGTGTCCTTGTGTTAGAACTTGTTTTTTACAGAGCTGTGTGACCTTTTCCTCCCACATCTATCTATATTGTGGACACAAATGATACAACTGTATATAAGCAATTCCCCTTTAGTAAAAAAGAAAGAAAAGACCAAACAAAAAACCCCCCACAACCAACCACCACCACACTGTTTTATTCATAAGGACCAGTCCAAGGGCGGCTCAAGCATATTCGTGTCAGAGGAGCAGGGGGAAGAAAAAAAACCAAAACACATTCTGCACACAAATTAAACTATTCACAGAAACACAATAATTTAACATGATACCTTTAATAAAGACAGTTCTCAAATGTTTGATAGTATATTCTATAATAAGAGTAATTTTAATAATATAATTATAATATTATACTATAATAATTAAAATGAGACCCACTTTTCAAACACTGGTTGGCAAATAAAAGAAAACTTTTTGGAAGAAAACTCATTTTCAACAGAGATTAAGAAGTCAAAAAGAAGAGTGCAGCCCAAAACAAACCAGAGCTAAACATCTTAAGTGTGGAAATGGTGCGCACAGGGAATTTTTTCTGAGGGGGGGGTTGTTTCCTGCTTTCTATGTTTAGTTCTTTGGTAGTAAAGTATCAGCAAGAAACACAGACTCTCAGAGTTCGTGTTCCACAGCAAGTGAAACACGGTACTTGCTAAGAGAACTTCAAACAGAGCAAATCTGGGTTTCTTTTTCTTCTGACTCTTTCCAAGGAAAAAGCTCAGGAAGAATTGCTGTATCTGATTAGCCATGTGACAGACAGATGGTATTTCACTTTAGATAACTCGTGCCTTTCAAGTACTTGCAGCATGCTTGCTAGCACCTTCACAGAATGATTTCTGAAAGGTTTTTTTCTCCCCACAGCTATTAAGTTTTGGGGGAAATAGTTCAAAACTTTTTTTTTTCCCTTATTGCATGTCTATTTGTCCTATTTTATCACCTTTGAAGTGGTCAGACCAAGGACGTGTGAATGATCTTCCACAGGTAAATGAACCTGGTAACCGTCAGTCTTCAGAGGACGCTGTGCAACACCAGCACAAGTGAAACCCTGACACTAATAGAGAACACAGACACATCGCCCCATCTTCTACACGGGAAGGCACCCAAAGCTACAACTGAAGGAAACGCTCTACTTTTAATTGGTCTTCAAATTAATAGCAAATAGTGCTATCTGCTATTTCTCTCACACACCACAAAGAGCTAACCCAGATGAAATTCTCTGACCCTTAGCATATAAATATTAGCTCAGTCTAAGCACACCATGCTTCAAAACTTTCACAAAAGACGATTTTGAGGAGAAACAAGAGAGCCATCGTTGCCGCTGCGTCTGGAGTCAGAAGTCACTTTGCTGTCACAACAATCTGGAAATTAAACACCTTCATACAGGAGATGAACGTTTTCAATACTTTCTGACAAAAGACTTTTAAAAAAAATAGAATTGACCTAAAATAGGGGAAGAGGGCGAAGGTGGAGCAGGAAGGCAGTTCTAACAACAGCAAACAAAGGAAACAGCTCAGCCTCTCTAACAACAATTGAGCAATTTTCCCTCAACAAGCTTTCTACCCCAGCTGCTAATTCCGATCCTCCTGGCGCAATCTGCCTCCTTCTCAGTTGTGCTGATAAACCTATTTGTATAGCTGGGACGTAAATTGCATCACTGAGATGATCCCTTTTAAAATTACTTCCCCCCCCAATTACTGTGATTCAGTGATTCAATTCTGAAACCAGATGCATCAGCACAACTGAAAGAACTGTGAGCCACAGTCGTGAAGTGGAAATAACTTCACAAACCAGTTTATATCTGAAGCCAGTGCACGACTAACAACCCTCAGAGAGACCTTACTATGCTTTGCTGAAGGGAGTAGAGGCTATCAATTACAAGAATATCAATTACCGCTTAATCAACCCTTTGAAAAAATTGTGAAAGCACTCAAAGCTCTTGAAAAAGAGGATGGTGGTGTGGCATATTAAAAGCCATCTTCTCCACAGAAGAGAAGGAGGATATTTCTGGAAAATAAGCTGAGAATGGGCTGCTTAAGGAAGAAGGAAAACTGCAGAAAAGACTCCAAACAAGCAAAAAAGCTCTCTGTTGGGAGAAAAATACTGGAAGAACTTGTGACTCAACAAGGTTTGAAAATATCCCTATCTTTAAAATTCCAGCTGATACTGATTTTGAGCTCAGACTATGGAAAGCTCATCTGTAAACATCTGGAACTAAAACCTGAAAATGATTCCATGTGTGAGGAAAGAAGAAATAACATTTTTATATTGAAAAACAAGAAAGGGAACGATACCGAAGACATGATTATTTTGTCTGATATATACGTCAGGTAATCCTGAAAACAGCTAAAGCCATGGGGTGATCATTTACCAAGGCCGTAGCATACTTTTATTCTCTGACCTAAGATACAGCACCAGCATAATGGAAAGAACATGTAACACTTTAGTAAGCAGATGAAGGAGAAGCAGAAACAGCTGTTCTATTCCCAAATATATGAATATATTTACATTTATTTTATAAACATGCACACAAAATATATGTATATAGTCTTGATTTTCCTACAAATGAGAAGTATATAAGCTGAATTCAGGTTCTCTTTGAAGAGTTTTCCAAGATCAGCACATCTGGCATCTGTGAGGTCAGAGGATCACAAATATGCCTACTTTTATATTAGTTTCATGGCATTTTAGCTCTTTTTATTCTTGCACGAGAATAGCATAGAAGCTCTGGCTGAGATCAACTCTTCACTGTGCTAGTCTCTGTATAAACACTTAGGCTTTGTCTAGATGTAAATCTAAAGGTGTGATGCACCTGCAACATGTTTGTGAACACTCCTCATGTATTTGAGAAAACTAAACCAAAGTTTGCACTGTTAGACCTGTTTAAGTACAGCTAAAAGACATTTACTTCCAGATCTAGCTAGAGCAATGGAGATGTTAGTCCCCCAGGTCGGAGGTGATCACCAGTTGGAGGTGATCACCAGGAAGACTTCTGTAAGCCCTAGAACTCACCAGGTAGAACGAAACTTTTGAGAACTCCCTCATCTGTGTCTGTGCAAAGTTTTCACAGTTAACCTCAAAGTGCCATCCATCAGTGAATTAAATTACAATGTATGACACTGACATGGAAGCGATGAAGGATACCGCGCATTCTCTTCTTCCAGCTCAGCTTTGGGACATTAACCTCTGGTGGGGAAGAAGAGGGGCAGAAGCAAGCAGATGAGGACTGCTCATTTCTTAGACTGCTATATCCTTCCTGCAATGATGCTCTAAAAATGGCCTTGGCTTAAACCAAAGAAAACACATTGAATGGCTCAGCTGATGGGTGGAAAACACCGTCACCAAAACTTGGTTGTACATCTGAACTCTGGGTGTGGATGAAATTATACCTAGCTAGGGAATACCTAGTATCTACTACTCACTGACAGACTCAGGATCATTTCCTTTCCGTGCCTAGCACAGCCCCATGTTCTCCTCCAAAACCATTCCAGAGCTGCCTGTGTATTTTGCGCAACAGAGCTGTTGGACAACATAAAGAGTAATGAGAAAAAAACCTAGAACTTAAGATGTCCTCCCCTGCAAGTGACTACAGTCTGCAGAAGAGTCAGAAACTTTGTCGTCTTGGTCTCAAAGTCTTGCATACCTGGCCAAAAAGCTGCTTCATTTCGACAGCAAGAGTAGACACAATATTCAAAGGGGATGAGGCCAGGAAAAACAGAGACGTTAAAATGGAGATATTTGCAACGCTTATTTCAACCCATGCACCAAGTTTCCTCAGCTTAGCTCTACAGTCCGCAAAGAAAGGCTTTTTAACGGCTCAGGGTGATTTAGAACAGCTAAAACTACAGCTTCTGCTTTAAGCAGCCTTTGAAGAAGAGGGAAACAAGAGAGAAGTTCCCTGGTAATTGGAAAGACCCTTAGGAAGACTGGTCCCACCAGGCTGTTAGCCTCTGTATCTCCCATGTACCCAGCTGGTAGAAAGTACAACTGAGTAGCAA